GGATTTGGAAGAGAGAAGAGAGAAGAGTGGGTGAAGCCGAAGAAGAAGAAGAAGCTTTGTTTATATAAAAGAGGAAACTTCAAAAGCAGGAAGCTAAGAGGAATCCGCACAATGGAGGGAAATATCATAACATAAATCATCGAATACTCAAATTCAGATCAGATTTTGCTTTCCTTTTCTCTTCTGGTATGCTCTTGTGCATTTATACTCTCTCGAAATTAGGTCTTTTTTTCTTTCTTTATGTCTCTTTTTTATTTTCAATGAAAAATTAAATTTTTTTTTTCCAATATTAGGAGTAGGGATTCGAATTCACGACCTCTTAATCGAATACATGTGTTTTAACTTGATGAGCTAGGCTTAGATTAACAAGGTAAAATTAAGTCTTACGTAAGAGAAATAGGAATGACAAAAAAGAAATTTATATTGTTAATTTAAGTTTAAATGCTATTTTGATCTATGTACTTTTGACTTTTCTTCATTTTAATCCTCATACTAAAAAAAAAACGTTCATTTTGGCCTGGTCCTTGTTTATAAAATTTTAACATAAATTTTATACACAATGGAAATTATTTATTAAAAATTTATGACTACAGTGAAATGTCATATTAAAATAGACGTTTTGAAAATATAGAAACTAAAATGAATAAATGCTGAAAATAGAAAAACAAAGAGCGGATAGAATTAAAATAGAGGTTTTGAATAAAAATGAGGCATACATGATAATTTTTATATTCTTAGTCAATTAAAAATGAATTAACTAAATTGTATACTAGAATAATTTTTAATAAAGAGAAATGACTGTTAAATTTTTATTGGGACACGTTTTGACTTAAAAGACATGCTCCTCTACTTTCCGGTATAAGTGCAGCTATAAAAGTATTATCTAGACAGATAAATAAATTAAATAATGCTTAATTATCGTAAAATAGGCTCGTATTTTATCTTTTTTTTTTTAATAATGAAAAACAATTTTGAAAGGAAGAACTATTTGTATTAAAACCAAAAATTAAATAGAGTTACTTTTCGATTACTAACAATTATTTGGTTGATAATAAATTTTAATTTGTTTTATTACTGTTTTAGCAGCATATGGCGTTGAATGACAAAATTTTGGTCAATTAGTAAATGTCACGTGATTATTCTATCGTAAAATTACACGTGTCCTAAATTAGTTTTAAATTGATGAATCAAATTGTGTCACTTATCTGATGAAATCAACTAATTGGATCAAACTTATGTCGGGGTTCGGAGAGATCCAGAAGCATAGCATTTAGAGTAATCTACAATTAGACACGCTCACGAGCTATCGAATTAAAGTTCACATATGAGAGAATTAATTAGAGATTGTAACACTACATACATAAATACAAATACAAGTTCATTAATTCGAGTTTCTCTTCTTTGAATTTATCGTCGAACAGATGGTAATAATTTTTTTGTTTCAACCATTTATTTGACATTAAATTATAATGATTAATTAAAATAAAATCGCAACAACAACACAGATTAATATACTTTTTATAAATATTATTCAATTTTATTGTCATTTTATTTATGAATAGTGAATTATAATTTAACCACTTAATTGATTTTAGTAAATAATAGCTAATTAAAGGAAAATTGCTGAAATCACCCTGAACAGGAAGAACTTGATTAATCACCCCTCCCCCAACTAACTTACAAAACGAAATTGTTGTCCATTCTTGAATAATCAAACTCTCCAACTATAGAATTGTTATAATTTAATCTAATATTTTTTAATTTATTAAAGTTTGAAAACTATAATATTAACATAAACGTGAAAAAATATTTTAAACTCAATAACTACAACTTAATTGTAATATAGAGAAATTGATCAATTTTTTTGCGAGTTGTTGGATATCAAATGTCAAGTAGAATTCGAATATTATGTCTACATGTATTAATAAGACAGTAATTTAATGATATATCAAAGTTTTGTCGAATGATGTAATTTAGAACTTTTCACCTCTTAAGGTTAAAATTTAGAATTTCAAACGATGAATGGACAAAATTGAAAATTATCTTAGAAAGATTCTGGAGCATTTTATGTATTTAGCCTAAAAATATTAAAGAGACGTTCGATTTACGGATTAGATTTGAACTCGATCATTAACCGTTTAAACATGTCAAATTTACAAACTCAAAAACTTTCAAACATCATGCTACAAAATCAAAAGTTTTTTTTTAGTAATATATATATATATAGGGGTGGAGATTTGAACTCACGATTTTTTGGTCCGAGATAAGTGCTTAATTCCTATAGACTCATCTCATAAAGTTTAGAATTAACTCATTTTAAGATTCACCAATTAAGAGAGTATAATAGAAAAAATGTTATAATGCAAGGATAACGTTGAAAAAATGTTACTAATTAAATATTTAGTTCAATCTAAAATAATATTAATTAATTTTTTAACATTTATGTTATAAATTTTGTATAATTTTTATATTTTACATGTTTTAATTTTAATAAAAATAAAATGGGTTTATAACATGAAATAATATATTTATCCAAATTTTTATATTTCTTTAATATAGTTACGCATTTTGAAATTTGAAAAGATCACAATTCCACTCCTTGAATTACATAATCTGAAAATAATTTTAAAAAACAAATATGCCAAGACGGAATTAGAGAAACAGAATGTTAATTGACAACCAAACAGGTCCTAAATTTTAAAGTGTCTAATAGTAGGTCCTAAACTTAAAAAATATATATATATTTAGTAGATCCCTAAAGTTCGATTTTTATATTGGAAAAGGGCAATAGGTCTTTTAACCTATTGGACATGTTTAAAAATTTAAAAACATGTTAAGCACAAAATTGAAAAGTAAGTAACATATTAAACACAAAATTGGTAGTCCATGAGCTATCAATTTCGTGTCTAATAGCAGTCTATGGCTTTTAAAATATATCTAACGAGTTAGAAAACTACTGGACACAATATTGATAGTTCCTGACCAGATATTTTTAAAAGTTTAAGAGCCTACCGACACAACATTGAAAGTTCAAGAACCTATTATAATACTTCTAACCTACCGAACATCAATCCTAACTAGGATTAATATGTATATTTCGACTTTTAATCTCGAGGCTTTTGAATATCTAGAGAAAAAAGAATAAGAATCAATATCAAAATTGTTGAAAACATGTCACACTTGAGGAAAATACATCAAGTGGTGAATATTCAATCCAAAAGGGATACAGATTATATTACGAGAATCAGTGGACTTGCATAACCATACCCCTCCTGGCTTATCTGCTAAATCATAGAAAAATGAGGTGGGATGAAGAGTGAATTCGAATTTAGTTTCGACTCCTCTTTCAGGAGCTATGATTAAGCATTGTCCTCCCTGCACAACATTACCCGACAACTCTTTTACGATAAACATGATTTTTCAGAGCATGTTTGAGAGTGATTTTGAACATGGCTATAATCATATCACTTCCATTTTAAAATAGAATGTTTGTCAATGATTCATAAACGACGAGTTTTTTGAAGTATACAAGTAGACGAAGAACACTACTTTCAAAGCTAGAAATTTGCTTAATGAATAATACCTCTTTGGTGAGAATAATCTCCTCGTTTGCAACAGAGAACTTGACTTGAGAATCCGTTAAAGTAGCACAAACTGCAACAGATGACAAGTTTTTGAGAACATATGCATCACTTTCTTTCAAGTAAATGTGAAAGAGGGAAAAAAGAAAGAGTTGCATTACTTCTATGATTGAAGTATGCAGATAGCTTTGTTACAATGCTTCTGAATTCATCTGAGCCAATTGAAACACAATTTCCATAGTCAATTTCGCCTACGTCCTCCTCTTCTGAAGGAGACAAATCCAATTCACGACGCCCTCGAGGCAGATTCCCTAGAAGTATCAGAATGAAAGTTCTAAAGCAAGCAAGATTAAGGTATCCTAAAGCGATTTGTTCTTATTGATTCCATCCATCAATGGTGCTCTGTTTACAGCAAACGAATAACAAACTGTGTTCTTGAAACAAAAAGAAACAAAAGCTGCAGAAATTTAGTATCATACATGTTCATAAAGAAATTCTCAGAATATATGAAAGAATCAATCAAAATTACAGAGCAGTGGATTTGGTTAGATTACATGCATCTAATAGGTCCCTAAACTTAAAATTTGTCAAACAATTTCGTGTTTAATAGGTCCTTAACTTTAGTTAAAAGTATCTAATAGTCTCTAAAATTTTCAATCTCGTAGGTAAAAAAGTCTATGATTTTTCTTTAAATGCCTACATACAATTGAAATATTAAGTATCTATTAGAATTTGAAACCTTATAAGTTAACCGAAAGAATTTGAAAAAATCCCAACCCAGAAAGACAAAAGTGAAAGAAATGTCATTTTAGATTTTCGATGCCTGAAGAAACAAACAAGGGCTTCTCGATTGAAGACAACAATGGTGCTCTGTTCACAGCAACTAAGTAATAACCTAGTGTTGATGAAACCAAAAAAAGAAACAAGATTCTGATATATTGAGAACAAAATGAAAGCCACAAAAATCAGTATCAAACATGTTCATAAAGACATTCTCAGAATATACGAACGAATCAATCTGAAGAAATGACGAAATATTCTTCAATTAGAATCAAGATTCATTAATTCGAAACAGAGTATAAAATGCATTAAACAAACTTGACTTCTGAGTATCAAAAACACACATCCCCCAAGAAACAACGAAAAACCCTTAAACTACAATCAAGATTCACTCATTGTGAAGACAGAGAAACAGAGCAGACAAGGAATTCAAACTCGAATTCCCAGAACACAAAAAAGAATCAACCCAACAATTCAATAAGAATAATCATTCAAAATATTGGGCATGATACTCACTTGAATTCTCGAATCGAAGGAGCAGGCGATTCTGATTTTCGAGAAGATGGAAGGTCATTGCAGGATAGAGCCTGCCATCCATCAAAATAGAGTGCAAGGAGTCGAGGCAAATTCTGGAAGTGTGATTCCCATCCACGGCAAAGGAGGTGAAGAATTCAGGCGACATTTGCAGCGCCGCGATGAAGGGAGGGGAAATTTGGGAGACAATTATGCAGAACTTGGTGGGCGAGAATTTGACGTCGGCCCGTGTAGCGATTCGAGTGAGAGAGCAGATTGCGTCGAAAAGAGGAGCGATTGGCTGAAGCCTGATCAGGAACATGGCGGTCGCAAGCTCAACTGGTAATGCCAAAAATGGCGGGCAAACCAAAGACAACACTCAACGAGAAAGAAGAACAAGGGCCAAGTTTTGGATTTAGGGTTTCTAATTTTTTTTCTCATTTTCCTTTCAAAACTTTCTAAATCTCTTTCCCACTCCTCCTTTTCCACTACCACTAGTTTTTTTTTTGTTTTTTTTTAATTTTCGTAATTGTCCGAGTCAGTTACGCATATCTTGACTAATCTCACAGGACAACATGCACTATCGCTAATAAACAACTATTTTTCTTGATTTAGTTCTGATGTGTTAGAAAATTTTTATAAGGTTATTTCGTAAATTATCATTACATAACATATCATGCCACTTGAAATGATATTTTTGATAGACAACTATTTTTTAACCAATATTTTATAGAAGAACCTAATTTTAATTTTTTTTAATGAAAATACTTAGGTCCTAATTGTTGTCCTCGCCCTATTTGAATGGTTTACAATTAAGAAATGTAAAAATAGAGAATTCTTTATTAAAAAACACCAATCTTGACCTAAATATTTTGTATTTTGTAAATATAAAAAGTAAAATTGAAAATTTTTAAAAATTGAGGACCAAATTGAGATTTGAATAAGACGATTAGATATCATCTTGTACCTTTAGTTTATAGAATCAATAACAAATTTACCATATATCAAAAATTAAAAGGTTTTATGTCTGAAAAAAAGAATCTTAAAAATTATAATGCAATTTAATTTTATAAAATAAACAAACTACTTCTGAAAAATGATGGAATATTAATATGTGAATTCAAACCACAAAAGAAAAGCGAGTGAAATTTTGGGGTATGCAAAGAATCTGACGATTTAGAAAATTTGGTCAACTCAATTTAAATTTAGAAAATTTATTAGATTGGATTCTATTTTTGTTTGAGTTCGTTTAATTAGTTCAAATAAATAATATATATTGTAACAAAAAGTTCAAAACATTTTTTTACAATCTAATAATTAACTGATATTTTACCCAGTTGAGTTGATTCAGAGATCTTTCGGAATTAGTTTGAGTTCAACGATATTACAAAAGTTCATAGAGGTGTATCCGTATTTGGAGGAGTAGGTGAACGTCCACGAAGGAAATGATCTACATGAAAATGAAAGAATCCGAAGTAATTAATGAAGAAAATATTGCAGAATCAAAACTAGCTCTAGTCTACATGAATTAACTAATGGGTGCTCATATGAGAGTCGGTTTAACTGCCCTAACTGTGACAAAATATTTTCGAGAAGTTAATATCAATTGAGCAATTCAAATTTTTAATTAAAAAAAAACAAAATGTTTAAATACTTTTTACTTTATGTATTTTCAAAAGCATCTATTTTTTTGTTTGCATACTTTTAATTTTTATTCATAAATAAATGATTCAAATAATTTAAGTCAATTCCACCTAAATATTTCATACTTCTATAAAAATTGGTTCAATTATCTAGCAAAGGTGATTTGAAAGTTTGAACTATTCAGATTCATTTGAATAATTGATCGGTTATAGGCAACAAGAGAATCAAAGTTACCTATTAAAAAAACTTATAATGTCATGACCCTTATTTTCCCTTCTTTTCAGGAAAATAAGTAGGATCGAAGATTTTAACTCATGACTTATTGATCAGAAAAAAGTGCGTCAATTACCGTTGAGTTAAGGTTATATTAAGATGTCCACGTTTATATTCTAATCTCTAATATTTTAAATTTTTTTCAATTTAGTTATTATTGTTTGAAGAGCTTTTGTTAGTCATTTCATGTTTTTATATTGTTCAATTATACCTTTTTATGTTGGTCAATGTTAAAATCGGTCTATATAAACTTACGTAATGTGATACTTTTGTAATCTAGCAAAAACGTTGGGAATAATTGGGCCACCTAAGGGATAAAGGATCTCATTCCTCTCCAAAATTTATAAGAAATTTTAATAGTATAATTTCTAATGTTCGAAGGGAACTTGTTAGACACTTTTCTAAAGTTCATGTTAGATATCCAATAAATGAATTAAATTTTTCTAGTGGTGGTTTATTCATCTTTAAGATGGTATCAGAGCAGGAAGGTTTCTCTCCATTTTATATTGATACCCGTATTAGATGCAAAATTGAAAAGTAAATGAGCTTGTTTTTTTTTTTTAAAATATATCGAATAGATCATAGAACTATAAAATTGAAAGTTAGAGACCAACCAGATACTTATTAGACACAATATTAAAAGTTCGAAAATTATTAATAAAGACTTTAAAATACATATATTTATTAGGACACAACATTGAAATTTTATAAATGAGTACTTATTAGACACAACATTGAAAGCTTACGATTAATTAGACATTTTTAAAAGTTTAAGTACCTACTARACATAACATTGAAAATTCAATAACTTATTAGACACTTTAAAATTCACAATATTAAAATCTTACGAACTTAGTCTAAGCACCTATTAGTAACCTCACTCAAAGTTCGAGAACTTATACTTTAAGCACCTATTAGTAACCTCACTCAAAGTTCGAGAACTTATACTTTAAAGTTCTAAGTATACCTATTTGACACAATAGTAAAACTTTGGTATAAAAATTACACTAATTTAATCGAAGATATATTCATATAAACTTGCTAATAATGGAGGCTTTCACACCACACAAAGCATAACAAAACAAAACAAAACCAACCAAATAAGCTTAAATTTCAATGGCCAAAAATCCTCCCTTCCATTTCCGTTTCTTGTGCTCCCTTAAACCTAATTTTCAACTTCTTTCCCCTCCAAGCTTTTCACCCTCATCCATGGCCGCCTCCACCAAAATTCCTCCATTGTTTTTCCTTCAACTCCACCATGCGGC